GTCGACTCAAAAGTCAACTCCCTGCACTGTGAAGCAGTCCTACATCTGTATCAAGTTGACTTTTGAGTCGACTCAAAAGTCAACTCCCTGCACTGTGAAGCAGTCCTACATCTGTATCAAGTTGACTTTTGAGTCGACTCAAAAGTCAACTCCCTGCACTGTGAAGCAGTCCTACATCTGTATCAAGTTGACTTTTGAGTCGACTCAAAAGTCAACTCCCTGCACTGTGAAGCAGCCCTACATCTGTATCACACACAACACCATGCGCCTCATGAGGGACCAACCCGGAGGGGGCCACATATTCAACATGGATGGGGCTGGGGCCGACGGCAATGCCACCCCCCGGTGAGTATATTTGTATGGGTTGCTCAGTAGTGTGAAGCAGAGTCAGCGCTGCATCTGTGTCGCACACACACCGTGCTCTGAATTAGCCTCATGAGGAGCAGCCCGGAGGGGGTCACATTTGCTTACCACCAAGCGCAGCAAGGGATGCAGCCTGGCCCTCAGTTCACCAGTCAACTCCAAGCCTCACTGTCGGCCTTCCTGTTCCCTCTCTACGATCCCTTCCCTCTATCAGCTTTGCAGCCTACGGAGCAACCACGCACTGCGTACCGCAGTTCACCAAGTCAACTCCAAGCAGAGCTGAAGATGTACCTTCACCTATTCCTCTTCTACCTTTCCTCCTTTCGGCTTACTCCCGCCACCAGCTTCGCAGCCTACGGAGCCACCAAGCGCAGCCTGGCGCAGTTCACCAAGTCACTGCAGGCAGAGAGACACCCTCCCTTGCTTACCCTGCTCCTTGTCCATCTACCCTCTGTTGCCCCTCCTCTTCTCCTCCCTACCAGCTTCGCAGCCTACGGAGCCACCAAGCGCAGCCTGGCGCAGTTCACCAAGTCACTGCAGGCGGAGCTGAAGATGCTTAAAGTCCCCAACGTCGTTGTGCACAACCTGTCGGTGAGCCTTGTGGTTGGTTGTGCACAACCTGTCGGTGAGCCTTGTGGTTGGTTGTGCACAACCTGTCGGTGAGCCTTGTGGTTGGTTGTGCACAACCTGTCGGTGAGCCTTGTGGTTGGTTGTGCACAACCTGTCGGTGAGCCTTGTGGTTGGTTGTGCACACCTGTCGGTGAGCCTTGTGGTTGGTTGTGCACACCTGTCGGTGAGCCTTGTGGTTGGCTGTGCACAACCTGTCGGTGAGCCTTGTGGTTGGTTGTGCACAACCTGTCGGTGAGCCTTGTGGTTGGTTGTGCACAACCTGTCGGTGAGTCCCTGTTGGTGGGATGTGTACTTGTGACCCTATGTAGGGTGTGGGTTCTTCTTAGTTGCAGCACCGCTGCATCACTGCTCCATGGTCACTGCAAGCGGAGCTGCAACTAAGAACCCACACCACTCCATGGACACAGTTCACCCAGCAGTCACTGCAAGCGGAGCTGAAGATGCTCAGACTCCCCAACGTGTAGAGAGGGTGTTTTTTGAGACGTCTCAAAAACACCCTCTCTACACTACAGGCCACAGTTCACCCTCTCTACACTGCAGGCGGAGCTGCAGATGCTCAGACTCCCCCACGTTGTCGTGCACAACCTCTCATTCAGTCACACACATGCACGCACAAGCACACACACACACACGCACACCTTCCCCCTTTCCATCCTCCTCTCCCCCTTCCCGTCCATCCCATCAGCCCGGCATGGTGACCACAGCCCTGCTCACGGCAGGCGCCAACACTCCATGCACTCATGTGCCCTGCATTCTTTCTTTCCAACCCTTCCCTCTCCTCTTCACCCCCTTCCCGTCCATCCCATCAGCCCGGCATGGTGACCACAGCCCTACTCACGGCAGGCAGGCTCCAACACTCTCACGCGCTGAGGCACAGTGCGTCCTTTTCTTTTGTCTTGAATCCCTCTCCTGCTTCCTGTCCCCCTTTCCATCATCCCATCAGCCCGGCATGGTGACCACTGACCTGCTCATGTCCCCCGCCAACACTGCAGGCACTCATGCACCCTGCATTCTCCTCCTCGCCCCCTCCTCCCTCCCCATCCCATCAGCCCGGCATGGTGACCACTGACCTGCTCATGTCCGGCGCCCAACACTGCAGGCACTGAAGCACCCCCGCCAACACTGTGTTTCTCTTCTTCCTCCTTCATCGCTCCCTCTCCCCTTCACCCCCGTTTCTCCCCTTCACCTCATCCCATCAGCCCGGCATGGTGACCACTGACCTGCTCATGTCCGCGCCAACACTCCTCAGGTTAGAGAGGGGGGAGAGATGAGGAGAAGGGGTCAGTCAGTGCTCTGTATCCCTGGTGCTGATTTTTTTGTCGACTCACTACACAAGGGGTCAGTGCTCCGTATCCCTTCCCTGGTGCTGGTGCCAGTACAGCTACTGCTGTTCAAGTGCTCCGTATCCCTTCCCTGGTGCTGGTGCCAGTACAGCTACTGCTGTTCAAGTGCTCCGTATCCCTTCCCTGGTGCTGGTGCCAGTACAGCTACTGCTGTTCAAGTGCTCCGTATCCCTTCCCTGGTGCTGGTGCCAGTACAGCTACTGCTGTTCAAGTGCTCCGTATCCCTTCCCTGGTGCTGGTGCCAGTACAGCTACTGCTGTTCAAGTGCTCCGTATCCCTTCCCTGGTGCTGGTGCCAGTACAGCTACTGCTGTTCAAGTGCTCCGTATCCCTTCCCTGGTGCTGGTGCCAGTACAGCTACTGCTGTTCAAGTGCTCCGTATCCCTTCCCTGGCGCTGGTGCCAGTACAGCTACTGCTGTTCAAGTGCTCCGTATCCCTTCCCTGGTGCTGGTGCCAGTACAGCTACTGCTGTTCAAGTGCTCCGTATCCCTTCCCTGGTGCTGGTGCCAGTACAGCTACTGCTGTTCAAGTGCTCCGTATCCCTTCCCTGGTGCTGGTGCCAGTACAGCTACTGCTGTTCAAGTGCTCCGTATCCCTGGTGCTGGTGCCAGTAGTGGGTGGTATTTGCACTGCACTGGGACGGCAGTAGCTGTAGTAGTGCTGGTGACCACAGACCTGCTTATGGCAGGCCCCAACACACCGCAGTTGATGCGAGGATGAAAGGAAGGATGGACGGTGAATGATGATATGCCTTTGATTAAGAGATTTGCTAGTGTATCTCTCCAGATTGGTGTGATGATGTAGCCACTGAAAATCATTCTCTTGTAATGTAGTTTCTAGTTGTAACTCTCTGGATAAGAGTCTCGATGTCGACACGGAATTAATACTTTGAGGCGCCTCCCAATCCCAATCTCCTTGGAGATTTGCCTGCCTCCCTGTTTTCCCCCTCTTCCCAATGTGAATCGTTTGTTATGCAGGCCAAGTTTTTCATCAATTGCCCTGGCAGAGCCAGCGGAGGATGTATGTTCGTAGGTTTAGTGCGATGCATCGAGGTGTAGTGCGGTGCAGTGCAACCCCCTTCCCATTTGCAGGCCAAGTTTTTTGTCAATGCCCTGGCAGAACCAGCAGAGGAGGTGCGTGGTTAACTGCTCAGTGCAGTGCAGTGCAGTGGAGTGGGAGTGCGGTGGAGTGGATTGCAGTGCTTTGCAGTACCTAAGGTTCCTTGTGCCACCATGCCCACGAGTGCGAGAAGCCGGCCTGTTTGTAGAGCCAACCCAACCACCTCTTTTTCCTGTTTGGCAGAGCCAACCAACACCTCTTTTCCTGTTTGTAGAGCCAACCCAGCACACTCTAATTTTCCTGTTTGTAGAGCCAACCAACACCTCTTTTCCTGTTTGTAGAGCCAACCAGCACCTCTTTTCCTGTTTGTAGAGCCAGCCAGCACCTCTTTTCCTGTTTGTAGAGCCAACCAGCACCTCTTTTCCTGTTTGTAGAGCCAACCAGCACCTCTTTCTGTTTGTAGAGCCAACCAGCACCTCTTTTCCTGTTGTAGAGCCAACCCAGCACCTCTTTCCTGTTTGTAGAGCCAACCAGCACCTTCTTTTCCTGTTTGTAGAGCCAACCAGCACCTCTTTTCCTGTTGTAGAGCCAACCAGCACCTCTTTCCTGTTTGTAGAGCCAACCAGCAACCTCTTTTCCTGTTTGTAGAGCCAACCAGCACCTCTTTCCCTGTTTGTAGAGCCAACCAGCACCTCTTTTCCTGTTTGTAGAGCCAACCAGCACCTCTTTTCCTGTTTGTAGAGCCAACCAAGCACCTCTTTTCCTGTTTGTAGAGCCAACCAGCACCTCTTTTCCTGTTTGTAGAGCAACCAGCACATCTGTCTGTTTGTAGAGCCACCCAGCACACTCTTCTGTTTGTAGAGCCAACCAGCACCTCTTTTCCTGTTTGTAGAGCCAACAGCACCTCTTTTCCTGTTTGTAGAGCCAACCAGCACCTCTTTTCCTGTTTGTAGAGCCAACCAGCACCTCTTTTCCTGTTTGTAGAGCCAACCAGCACCTCTTTTCCTGTTTGTAGAGCCAACCAGCACCTCTTTTCCTGTTTTGTAGAGCCAACCCAGCACCTCTTTTCCTGTTTGTAGAGCCAACAGCACCTCTTTTCCTGTTTGTAGAGCCAACCAGCACCTCTTTTCCTGTTTGTAGAGCCAACCAGCACCTCTTTTCCTGTTTGTAGAAGCCAACCAGCACCTCTTTTCCTGTTTGTAGAGCCAACCAGCCCTCTTTTCCTGTTTGTAGAGCGAACCAGCACCTCTTTCCTGTTTGTAGAGCCAACCAGCACCTCTTTTCCTGTTTGGTAGAGCCAACCAGCACCTCTTTTCCTGTTTGTAGAGCCAACCAACACCTCTTTTCCTGTTTGTAGAGCCAACCAGCACCTCTTTTCCTGTTTGTAGAGCCAACCACCACCTCTTTCCTGTTTGTAGAGCCAACCAGCACCTCTTTTCCTGTTTGTAGAGCCAACCAGCACCTCTTTTCTGTTTGTAGAAGCCAACCAGCACCTCTTTTCCTGTTTGTAGAGCCAACCAGCACCTCTTTTCCTGTTTGTAGAGCCAACCAACCACCTCTTTTCCTGTTTGTAGAGCCAACCAGCACCTCTTTTCCTGTTTGTAGAGCCAACCAGCACTCTTTTCCTGTTTGTAGAGCCAACCAGCACCTCTTTTCCTGTTTGTAGAGCCAACCAGCACCTCTTTTCCTGTTTGTAGAGCCAACCAGCACCTCTTTTCCTGTTTGTAGAGCCAACCAGCACCTCTTTTCCTGTTTGTAGAGCCAACCAGCACCTCTTTTCCTGTTTGTAGAGCCAACCAGCACCTCTTTTCCTGTTTGTAGAGCCAACCAGCACCTCTTTTCCTGTTTGTAGAGCCAACCAACACCTCTTTTCCTGTTTGTAGAGCCAACCAGCACCTCTTTTCCTGTTTGTAGAGCCAACCAGCACCTCTTTTCCTGTTTGTAGAGCCAACCAGCACCTCTTTTCCTGTTTGTAGAGCCAACCAGCACCTCTTTTCCTGTTTGTAGAGCCATCCAGCACCTCTTTTCCTGTTTTTTTAGAGCCAACCAGCACCTCTTTTCCTGTTTGTAGAGCCAACCAACACCTCTTTTCCTGTTTGTAGAGCCAACCAACACCTCTTTTCCTGTTTGTAGAGCCAACCAACACCTCTTTTCCTTGTTTGTAGAGCCAACCAACACCTCTTTTCCTGTTTGTAGAGCCAACCAAACACCGCTACTCCTGTTTGTAGAGCCAACCAACACCTCTTTTCCTGTTTGTAGAGCCAACCAGCACCTCTTTTCCTGTTTGTAGAGCCAACCAGCACCTCTTTTCCTGTTTGTAGAGCCAACCAGCACCTCTTTTCCTGTTTGTAGAGCCAACCAACACCTCTTTTCCTGTTTGTAGAGCCAACCAGCACCTCTTATTCCTGTTTGTAGAGCCAACCAGCACCTCTTTTCCTGTTTGTAGAGCCAACCAGCACCTCTTTTCCTGTTTGTAGAGCCAACCAGCACCTCTTTTCCTGTTTGTAGAGCCAACCAGCACCTCTTTTCCTGTTTGTAGAGCCAACCAACACCTCTTTTCCTGTTTGTAGAGCCAACCAACACCTCTTTTCCTGTTTCTAGAGCCAACCAACACCTTCTTTTCCTGTTTGTAGAGCCAACCAACACCTCTTTTCCTGTTTGTAGAGCCAACCAGCACCTCTTTTCCTGTTTGTAGAGCCAACCAACACCTCTTTTTCCTGTTTGTAGAGCCAACCAACACCTCTTTTCCTGTTTGTAGAGCCAACCAACACCTCTTTTCCTGTTTGTAGAGCCAACCAACACCTCTTTTCCTGTTTGTAGAGCCAAACCAACACCTCTTTTCCCTGTTTGTAGAGCCAACCAACACCTCTCTTTCCTGTTTGTAGAGCCAACCAACACCTCTTTTCCTGTTTGTAGAGCCAACCAGCACCCTCTTTTCCTGTTTGTAGAGCCAACCAGCACCTCTTTTCCTGTTTGTAGAGCCAACCAACACCTCTTTTCCTGTTTGTAGAGCCAACCAGCACCTCTTTTCCTGTTTGTAGAGCCAACCAGCACCTCTTTTCCTGTTTGTAGAGCCAACCAGCACCTCATTTCCTGTTTGTAGAGCCAACCAACACCTCTTTTCCTGTTTGTAGAGCCAACCAACACCTCTTTTCCTGTTTGTAGAGCCAACCAACACCTCTTTTCCTGTTTGTAGAGCCAACCAACACCTCTTTCCTGTTTGTAGAGCCAACCAACACCTCTTTTCCTGTTTGTAGAGCCAACCAGCACCTCTTTTCCTGTTTGGTAGAGCCAACCAGCAACCTCTTTTCCTGTTTGTAGAGCCAACCAACACCTCTTTTCCTGTTTGTAGAGCCAACCAACACCTCTTTCCTGTTTGTAGAAGCAAACCAACACCTCTTTCCTGTTTGTAGAGCCAACCAACACCTCTTTTCCTGTTTGTAGAGCCAACCAACACCTCTTCTCCTGTTTGTAGAGCCAACCAACACCTCTTTTCCTGTTTGTAGAGCCAACCAACACCTCCTTTTCCTGTTTGTAGAGCCAACCAGCCACCTCTTTTCCTGTTTGTAGAGCCAACCAACACCTCTTTTCCTGTTTGTAGAGCCAACCAACACCTCTTTTCCTGTTTGTAGAGGCCAACCAACCCCTCTTTCCTGTGTTGAGAGCCAACCAACACCTCTTTTCCTGTTTGTAGAGCCAACCAACACCTCTTTTCCTGTTTGTAGAGCCAACCAACACCTCTTTTCCTGTTTGTAGAGCCAACCACACCTCTTTTCCTGTTTGTAGAGCCAACCAACACCTCTTTTCCTGTTTGTAGAGCCAACCAACCACCTCTTCTCCTGTTTGTAGAGCCAACCAACACCTCTTTTCCTGTTTGTAGAGCCAACCAACACCTCTTTTCCTGTTTGTAGAGCCAACCACACCTCTTGTCCTGTTTGTAGAGCCAACCAGCACCTCTTTTCCTGTTTGTAGAGCCAACCAGCACCTCTTTTCCTGTTTGTAGAGCCAACCAGCACCTCTTTCCTGTTTGTAGAGCCAACCAGCACCTCTTTTCCTGTTTGTAGAGCCAACCAGCACCTCTTTTCCTGTTTGTAGAGCCAACCAGCACCTCTTTTCCTGTTTGTAGAGCCAACCAGCACCTCTTTTCCTGTTTGTAGAGCCAACCAGCACCTCTTTTCCTGTTTGTAGAGCCAACCAGCACCCTCTTTTCCTGTTTGTAGAGCCAACCAGCACCTCTTTTCCTGTTTTGTAGAGCCAACCAGCACCTCTTTTCCTGTTTGTAGAGCCAACCAGCACCTCTTTTCCTGTTTGTAGAGCCATTCCAGCACCTCTTTTCCGTTTTTTAGAGCCAACCAGCACCTCTTTTCCTGTTTGTAGAGCCAACCAACACCTCTTTTCCTGTTTGTAGAGCCAACCAACATCACTCTTTTCCTGTTTGTAGAGCCAACCAACACCTCTTTTCCTGTTTGTAGAGCCAACCAACACCGCTACTACCTGTTTGTAGAGCCAACCAACACCTCTTTTCCTGTTTGTAGAGCCAACCAGCACCTCTTTTCCTGTTTGTAGAGCCAACCAGCACCTCTTTTCCTG